TTTCCTTGACAGTAGGGAATATCGAAGACTCCAATGAATATTCAGACCATTTAATATCCCACAACTATGTTTAATATTTACAAAGCAATGGGGGCACGGGTGGCCCAGTCGTCTAAGGCGCCGCGATTCGCTGTGGACAGTTGCGTCCCTTGGGCATGCCAGAAACCTATGATTGTGGGTTCGCATCCCGGTTCGCCCCGATTATGTTTCTAGGTTTGTCAGCACCATACACGTGCTCGTGGGTTTCACCGAAGTGGTAAACGTCTGAGACCTGCATCGCTTCGGGCTTTCCTCCCACATTAAGCTGACACGCCGCGATATAACTGGAATACTGTTAAAAGCGGCGTTAAACCCAACTCACTCACTCACTCACTTATATTTCTGTATAACGCCCTGTTATTGCAACTATTATGTAAGTATTACTCCTTTGTAGATCTCACGATACTTCCTACCCTGTCCAAACTTGAATGTCTCTCTAGCTCTGTCAGAAAGTGGCAGGTCACAGGAACAACGTCGTCACGAGCAACACGTGATTTCCGCGAAGTAGTGTGTGTGTTGGTCGGCTGTTACATCCGGGAACCCTTCTGATGTGTATTGTCGACTATTGCACTTAGAAACCCCCCTGATCATACGTCGTTCGTGCATCAGCTATATTGATGTCTATTGTTGCAAATGACATCTCCCTGAATAGATGTGTCCGGTTTAACGAATCGTTCGTACTTAATAGTGTTGCTTTATTCATATATAAAAAGTCAAAATTAGCACCCGTGAAGATCCGGGTTAGAATTGGTCTTCAGCAACCCAGGTGACTAAAGCTTGCCGTAAAAGGCGACTATGCTTGTCGTAAGAGGCGACTGACGGGATCGGGTGGTCAGGCTCACTGACTTGGTTGATGCACGTCATCGTATCCCAGTTGTATAGGTCAATGCTCATGATGTCAATGACTAGATTGTCTGGTCCAGACTTGATTATTTACGGACTGCTGTCATATAGCTGGAATATAGCTGAATGTGGTATTAAACAACAAACAAAAAAGCCGTGTCCGGAGTGACGAGGGTTAACTGTACTTGAATCAGCTATGTCTGTCGGGGAGCCCACATTGATTGCACACATAATGACTGACAATATACCCCCTCATTAAACCGCCACCTCGCGGCATTGTAATGGCAACACAACAATCGCTTTGATCTCAGAGTCTGCAACGCGTGAAGCCACCAAACTGTCTGTTAAACAGCCGCACAATCTCCTTATAAAATAGCCTTTGTTGGTTTATGTCAAATGAAGACGAGCACCTGTATCTATTAATGCTCAAATGAGGACTAGTCTTTTGTGTCGACAAGCGACGCGTTCTTATGGTATTTATTTCAGGATTTGAAGCTGCAAAATATTTACTTGATATCGAATATCACATCTGTGGTTTGGAATACCTGTGTAATATAACCCATTAGCGGTGTCTGCGTGAGGAATTTGGAGTTGTCTCCCCAAACTTGATTGGTTTGTGTTTTGTTTGCGTATACAATGACGTCACAGTTGGATGTACACAATATATTTCATGTGAGTATATTTGCATAGTTTTAATTTCATTTGAATTACATACCAACTTGTGTAAACTTTAAACCGGGGTAGAATAGGTCTTCAGCAACCCATGCTTGCCGTAAAAGGTGACTATGCTTGTCAGACGAGGCGACTAACGGGGTCTGGTGGTCAGGCTCGCTGACTTGGTTGATGCATATCATCGTATTCCAATTGCGTGGATCGATGCTCATGATGTCAATCACTGGCTTATCTGGTCCAGACTCGAGTATTAACAGACCGTCGTCATACACCTGGAATGTTGCTGAGTGCGGCGTTAAACAAAAACAAACAAACTTCATCAAGTGAATGCCTAGTCAGTTCATAGGGTACTATATATATAATTATAAATCATGATGGTAAACAGTGCTAAATATCGCCATCAAATAACCATTTCTTATTTGTTTAAGCACAATTCAAACATGGGTGTATAGTTTCTTTTGCCCGGCAGTTTATTAAAACAATGTACAGCGCGAATTTCTGAATGATTTCGTATACTTCTGGTTTGTACCTAAGAACGTCTTGTACACGATTATATGAAGTTGAGTCTGCATAACTGAAATGTATTGGACAATTGTGTTTGACATTTACAAGGAGAACAAGTTAGCCTTGGCTCTAGAGAGCTTTGCGATCCTTCGGCATACCCAACCTTAATCTCTTTTGCCTATTGTCAACAAGTCACCTTCGATTGTACATACATTGATATACGCACACAAATCCCTGTGACATAATAAATATACAATTAGTCTTTACATAACACCTACAGGTATTTACCTGCGCGTTAACAATGTCAATATCTAGACACAAAGTAAATATACCCCTCACGCTACAATAACTGATCAGCAAACAATTACGACCCTGCTTCTCGCGGTAACTTTACCCATAGCCATTCAAACATTTCGCGAGGAAGGGTCGCGAGAGCTCGGCCACCCTCGTGAGCGTTCTAGCTACCTTGACAGGTTGGGGTAGATCGACGTGCCTGTAGATGGGGAGATAAAACTGGTTACCTGCCTGGTAGATTCACCTACATATTGAACATTTACCTGGTCAAGTACACACAGTAATTACAGGTAAGTAGTACTGAGGATGTCACCCAATTGAGGTATGTTAATGATTGATAGATTCAATATTGTAATGTTGTGCGGTTTGTGTTCAAATAGCTGTAGCGGGACTTGAAATTAGCGATTAGCGGATTGAATAAATAATTAATTATTTAAATGGCCTTCAAATGCACATGCGTTATGTACATTTACCATGCTTAGGAACTAGCTTCTGTACTGGACATTAAACAGTAAATGTGTGCATACCGTTATGACATATTTAATATGGCGACCCAAATAAATATTTAATAATTGTGATGTTGAGATATTACTCATATAGATTCAGTAATTGATATTCATATTTTGACATTCCTTATGAGAATATAAGATTAAAACACTAATCCGTGTGTGTATTATCGATTTCCGACGGCGTCGCATGGGGAGGCAAGGATCTCCTTAGAGGGGATTATTTGGTAGATAAGCAGGCATATCCCACGCCGAGTTGTTCTTTGTTATAAACATGCTTATATTAAAAAACACATAATCAGATCATATAGTGCTGGCTGCACTTGTGTGTTTGCATTGCGAGGGTGTTGACATTGACTGTGACATAAGCTCGCGTCTGGCTGGTAGGTACACTAGACAGTCATCGTCGTGTCTACAGTAGACGGTCATGGTCGTGTCTACACTAGACAGTCATCGTCGTGTCTACAGTAGACGGACGTTGCGTCTATACTAGACTGTTATCGTCGTGTCTATACTAGACGGTTATCGTCTTGTCTACAGTAGACGGACATCGTCATGTCTACAGTAGTGAGTATTAATTTTTACGCCGCTTTTAGCAATATCCCAGCAACATCACGGTTGGGGACACGAGAAATGGGCTTCACACATTGTACAAATGTGGGGAATCGAAACCGAATCTTCGTCGTGACGAGCGAACACTTTAACCATCAGGCTACCCCGCCGCCTCCATGTCTACAGTAGACCGTTATTTTCGTGTCTAAAGTAGACTGTCATCGTTGTGTCTATAGTAGACCGTTATTTTCGTGTCTAAAGTAGACTGTCATCGTCGTGTCTACAGAAGACCGTTATTTTCGTGTCTACAGTAGACTGTCATCGTCGTGTCTACAGTAGACCGTTATTTTCGTGTCTACAGTAGACGATCATCGTCGTGTCTACAGTAGACTGTCATCGTCGTGTCTACAGTGGACCGTCTTATTTGTGTCTACAGTAGACTGTCATCGTCGTGTCTAATGAGCGTATCAGTTGGGTCGCTTTCAATAGTATTTCTGTTAATTCACGGTGTAATACGGGTAAAGCGGGTCCAACTAGCATGGGCTGGCGCTGACAAACCTAGAAACATACCCAGGACCCCAGAGAAATAAATAAAAAAGTCAAACTCAAGTCAAGAATGATTTGTCAAGTCTGGATTGCCTCAGCTAAGGATTGTTCAAGGTTCCATTTGGTGTGTGTGTGTGTGTGTGTGTGTGTGTGTGTGTGTGTGTGTGTGACTAACGGGATCGGGTGGTCAGGCTCGCTGACTTGACTGATACATGTCATCGTATCTCAATTGCGTGGATCGATGCTCATGATGTCAATCACGGGATTGTCTGGTCCAGGCTCGATTATTATCAGACCGTCGTCATGTAGCTGGAGTATTATTGAGTACAGCTTCAACAACAAACAAACATGTATATCACGACGGTGGAGAAAAAACTTAAGAACTACCAGTGGTTGATATCATGAACAACAATCAACACATTGTGTCCACCTGATCCTATTTCGTCGGATTATACGACAAGCATGTGATTCTATCCCGGAACCCCTACGACGTAGAATCTTAACATGTCCATGGTAACCGCATCACTATCAGATAGTGATTCATAAACACATAAGGCATGGTGGGGTAGCCTAGTGATTAAAGCGTTCCCTCGTCACGCAGAAAACCCGGGTTCGATTCCCCTTATGGGTGCCCGTGATATTACTAAAAGCGGCGTAAAATCATACATATTCACTCACTCACTCACTCACTCATAAACACATGCTCATGATAAAGTCGCAATTGTAAAAAGATTTCAAATGATTACGGAATCAATTTTGTCGCTTTTATATAGATGTACGAACACGCTGGCTTGTAACGGGACGGTGGTGTGACCAATTTAAATCTTCGCGGCGTAAAACAATACTCCCTCTTCAGTCGACAAACGCCTCACATCAGTGGGTGTCCGATGTCCATACCCACCCTAGAGCGTGACTAAAACGCGGTATAATTCGTGTGACTGACAAAGATTTGGACGACATAGTCGACCCTGGCCTGGCTGCTTCAGTGTGAATTCAAACCCCGACGGCTGGCGTACTTCGCTGTTCCTTCAAGGTTGTCCTAATTCGATTTTCTCACACCATACAAAGCGCCGTGATATATCAGATTACTCGCTAACCACGGTGTAGACATCCCTCAATGCTCTGCACCAGCAAAAACTACGTTATCATATAGCCTTGCTCTAGATGTCGTGCTTTTTGTACGGAACAAATAGTCGAAAACATTTCTTAATACAACAAACATAATAAATATGTGAATGTCTAAATAAACAAATGCCGAAACGGACATCGCTGAAACAAACAAAAAATAAAAGAAATAAAAAAAACGTTCAAATATGAATATCAATTTAAAACAGGATCGAAGTTTGCCACAGATTTTCTATCGGACCAAATACCGTTAAGATATGATTCTTCATAGTGACATGCACACTAACCCCACGGTAACCTCGGCCCTGGCGGTGTCGGAGTCTAAGCGTGCGATCTTGATAAGAAAGCAGGGGGTATTCTGTCACCCTGTCTCACGCAGTCGCCACCCCTTGTCGCTTGTAACCATAACAACGTGACCAGGTACTCACGAGGATACTGAGATGGCATGGGATGTCAGTAGATGTACCTTCCATGGCAAAAGCAGGTAGTAGAACCATAAATCGTCGGGGTGGGGAGGGAAGAGGGCTGGGGGGAGAGGGTGTACGTGGAACGTGTGTCATGAATGTAAGTTCTAACCCAGACGACAGTCTGTACACATTTGACAGCACGTTGTGTCTATATATACTAATTTTACGTTTATTAAATGCATTATGGAATATGTAAACATGTTTAAATATGTTACGATTAAATCATTATTACCGTTTAAACTACAGAATTATTTGTCAATGTGTCATGACACAGCGGTTTTTGAACTTAATAAATTTACTTAGTTAGATATGTAAATAATTCTTTTTAAATCGTCAGTTTTAATTATCTTCCAGTATTTAACATTATAAGCGGTAAACATTTCTCCTAGTAACGAGCAATGCAATGCGCATGTGACACGATTGATTATTATATATCTATTAAGTACATATGGCTTCATTCGTAGTCATATCTGGCATACGGGGATATGAATTATTTTCAACTAAACATGGAAGTTTTGGGTATCAACAGGTAAGTGTGCTATATTAAAACTCCAAACAGGGTTGCCACATGACTAGTGCCCGCTACATGTACACCGTATGCTAGCCCGAGCTGTGAAACGGTTGTTTGACTTGTAAGCTCGTGTAACGTAAATGTAACGAGACCATTGTGGGGCTATAATCTGGGACCTGTGTAACAATATGAGGTATGGTTTACCTCTGTGGACAAACTGATAGGTAGCATGCATGGGATAGACACACGACTGCGCACTGGTCCATAACTGATTTCTTGTCATACAGCAGACGTATCGGGAATATTATCAATTTCTAAAGAAATGCCGTGTGATTTACTGATCTTCATTGAGGTTAATAAACACGGCAATCTGTGTACACGCAGTGCCATTCATCTAATCTACTAATCTGAACGATACACGATTCTTGGAGCTGGTGTGGCTGTTCATTGATCATGTGTCAAGTTAGGGTTTTAGATATACGACGTATATTTCAGTAGACTGCATGTGTGTTATCTCAGATCGAACCTTTAGTTTTATCAGAATGTTTAAGTGTGCGGCCTAATTAATAAGTAACTGTACTGTTAGACATATTTCATTGTAATCTTTATAAAGGGCCGGTTGCTCTTCACGGAATAAACGTTATCATAAAAAAGTTAGGACGTATGATATCGCCCTGCCTAACGCAACCTCGCTTAGCTGCATGGATGCATTTACACTTTTTTTAATATATATATATATATGGGGTCATTAGGCACAGCGTCAATACAAGGGCAACTTCCTCCTGTACATTGAAAACATTGATTGTGAGTTAAAATTAGTATCATATCTCATAGAAATATGTTGCGTGTTGCTATGTACATTAACTATAAGAGGAGGGCACGGATGGCCGCAATACTGACGTGTGTACCTCTGGCGTGCCAGAAACATATGATACCGGATTCGAATCCCGGTTAGCCCTGATTATGTTTCTAGATTTGTCAGCACCATACCCGTGCTCGTGGGATGCATCAAAGTGGTAAACATCTGAGAACTGCATCGCTTTGGCCTTTCTTCTCACATGAAGCTGACATGCCGTGATATAACTGGAATACTGTTCAAAGCGGCGTTAAACCCATATCACTCTCTAATAATGAGCTTAAGCTTTGCGGATCACCATTTGTAGATTTTACAATAAATTATTTCGTTTTTTTCAAATTAAATTTTGATCTCATTTGAATACAGCTTCTCAAATATGTCTAATGTTACCCGTCTCGTGGTCAATATGTGTGACCAACCATGACATAAGGGACTTTATGGGTGAAAAATCCCATTTTGACTTTTCATTATATTTTAAAGCTATTGTATCTTCGGAATACATTACATACATACATGACATCACACAACTGGACTCATTTTCCGACTTATAACTGTTGTAATAATTGCAGTTTTATAGACTTAATGTCTGATGATTTGAAAGTAGACATACACATATGCTGAAAGGTTTTGAAATAATGTTTTTATTACATTACAAACTAACGAGAGAAAAATAAGATATATTGTACAGGCCCCACACATGGCGATCTTCACTGAAGTAAGTTGACGTCAAACGTCTTTATGACGTCGTAGCACCCGTATCCAAGCACCCATAAGGTCCATTATGTGGGTCACATACGTTATACAAAAAGTACATTTTGACTCCCAACCGAATGAAACTCCAATATAATATTATATTATGTAATATATACATATTACAATGTTTGAAATGCTAAAATATTTAATGATTCTTTAGCCATAATCACAAGAAACCGCAAAACATTTGATGGAACATCTGAAACAATTTAAAAATAAGTAAACCTGAATGGTAAGAGTGAGCTCCTATCATTAGACACATGCGTACATCGTGCCAGTTGATTGTTTATTGAACATGGTGCTCACGCTATCAACCACCGGTTTCCCTAACAGAGGCTCCATCATTTGCGGAACACCGTGATATAACCTTAATAGTTGTTATACATGCCGTCAACGGGATCAACCATTGGTTAGATCAGATTATTTACATGCGACAGTGATACAATCACTCACACTATTACGTATATGTACGTACGTCTTACTACCAATGCTTGGGGCGGTGGCGTAGCCTAGTAGTAAACGCGTGCACCCGTCACACCGAAGACACGGGTTCAACTCCCGGTCTTGGGACAATGTGTGAGGCTCCTTTCTGGTGTCCTCCGCCGTGGTGCTGAACGCGGCGTAAAACCCAACTCCTCACTCACTTCTGATGCGACGCATAACTTTAACTCACTCACACAATTTTTCAGATTCAACATGATGCTTACTTCTGGGGAGAACACGACACGGGAAGATGGCAGCGGTTACAAGTATGACTCGGGCCACCCCGACTTTTACCGATGCCCTGTCTCTACTCCCGCCAACAACAGCAAACGACCATTGGAGGATTATGATCCAATAACAAACACGATAGCACCGGAACTGCATGAAAAGAAGTCGGTGATTGGCTTCTCCCGACCGTCAGTCAGCAGGAACAGAACACGTGACGTCCAGAAACCAATGAGAAAGAACGTTGAGTATTACTTCGTAGACAAACATGTGCAGCAACACGAAGCTAAGCAAACGAACACATTTTGGTTACAGTCACTGTGTGCCCAGCCAGTGACGGAGATTCTTGGGAAGTACAGGCGGAAGTCAGACTTTCAAAGAACTCGGTACATGTGGTCCAAGACGTTCTCGACCCCGGGGGAACGAGCCTTGCTGGAGGCTTGGAGCACCAACACTGGCCCTTCTCACCGTGTTGCCACATCAATGGGGATGAAAGCAGCAGGAAGACAAATATTGACATACTCTAGAGAAATTAAAGTTAGTACCGAACCATCTGTTGTGTCCTCTGCAAAGTCCACGATCTCACGGAGAACGGAAGTAGATGGCAGTGCTGATGAGTTACGTCCACTTCCTAGATCAACATCCGGTTGTGCACGTGATCAATCTAAACGAGCGGCTCGAACTGTTACCCAAGATTCCCCCATGGTCAGAATTGATACTGGTGACGGTGACGACGTTAAGACGTCCAACATGGCGTTGAATGACGGAACAGACGGACTGCCTCAGCTATCAGGTAAACAGAGTCGACGGAAAGGGCAGATTGTTCTTCAACAGCGGAAGTACTTCAGCGGTAACCGGAAGCATCCCGCTATACCTCATGTCCAAACGCTGAATCCAGTCAAAACTGAGGACATTGCTAAAACTCCTGACGTCATTTGTCTCATACCTTCTCAACGGTCTGTGTCACCCTTTGCAACGCCACGTAACATGGTTCAATCACGTGATTCACCTTCACGGGCACGTGAGAGAGTTGGGTCGGCGCACTCAATGTCCGACATTGACAAAACACAGGTGAAGTTTCCGCTTATTGTCAGCACAAGGACTGACACAGGAGCCTCAGAACAGGGATAGAGTCGTTCGTATGCACAACATTTTGCAATCAGAATCACTGATCGTTTACATGTGGATCCTTGTATTTGAGCATTTTCAGACGAAGTGACACCTGCACCAGAGTGTGAATATATGTTGTATAATTTTCAATATATATAATATTGTGCAAATTGGATTCGTTCTTTGTATTCCAATGAAGATTCCCATGAGAGCCACCTATGCTGGTCGCAAGAGGCGACAACTTTAATCCATGGTCAGGCTCAGTGACTTTGATGATAACGTGTCCTCTTACCCCGACGTCTTGGATGCATGTCATAGTATCCCAATTGCGTGGATTGATGCTCATCATATCAATCATCGGTTTGTCTCAGTTGTTTACAGACCCTCATCATAGATCTGGAACATTGCTTAATACGGCCTTACATAAACAAACATACAGACAAATAAATGTTCCTTGTACTGAAACATCAACTTTTTCCAATACATTAATACACGACACACGCATGTTCAATATCTCCAGAGCATTTAGCTGAAATTTCGTTAACCTGTTTTCGTTTTGTTATCAGCTGTTGTATCTGGAGAATGGGTTATACTCGGATCTCAAATTGGATGTAATGAATTAGAAATCTACATACTTTTCTCTCCGTGTACACAGGGGCGCAACCAGGCTAATTATAGGTGTAAGCAAAACCAATGTTACGACGGCGCGATACGGACAGGTTTGGGGTATGCCCCCAAGAATTTTTTAAGTATCAAATACTCTTAAACTAAAAGCTATTTCCTGTATTTTGGGTCGTTTATGTACCAAATATTAGTATTTTATTTATTATTTTTTTATTAGTATAACATACACAGGTGTTTCACCAACACATTTACGACTTTCATTCAAGAAACATCAAAGATGACAAATTAAATTTGAACATTAAAACGAATCGATAATATTACTTTTATGTGTTTTTATGTGTCCATTCGTAGTATGTGATGGTTATTGATATTTTCGGGTTAGAAGTGTAGAGTTTGAATTAATAATTTATTGCAGAGATGGTAAATTGAGATTTACTTATAAAACAAATTATGCTTTTTTTAGGTGTAAAAAATTATGTTTTTTTCTTAGGTGTTAGTAATTGCTTTTCTGCTTCAATGGCAGTTTCGCCTCTGGTATAGTATAAAAACCTATATACTTCTATATACCGGAGTCTATCAGCCATATTGCCTGAAGTCTGTTACACACAATGACCGTATTCCAATATTGAGATTGTTGATATGTGTTGAAAGGTTTATTGGCAATTACGGATATAATGAACTGCTTGGAATATTTGTAATAAGTAACTGTGTTCACAATGATATACGAGGGGGCACGGATTGCCTGGCCGTTCAGCGCGCCGCGATTCCATCGGCGTAAAACCCAACTCACTCACTCTTACGTCATTCCCATGCTCGTGTTTTCACCAAAATGGTAAACGTCTAATTCCTACTGTAACATTATTTGGTATATTCCTCTTTAATTGTTGCACCGAGATCAACTAACATACATTTTAAACCCAACTAGACCACTCACTCCAAAGTCAGGGTGGGTTAGGGATGTTTACAGTCCTCTGCCCCAGCTGTTCCCCTCAGTACACTGACTGGTAGATCAGTATTAATAAGGAAGCCCTGAAGAGCCTTTTACTCCCATGATTCCCCGTCTTGAGTTTAGGGTTCGCAAGAACATTTTAAGGATGCCATTCAGCTTTCATTGAACCTGTTTGAATGTTTCTAACACAAAAGCACCAAACACTGCTGCATTTGGTTTATGGAGGCACGGGTGGCCCAGTCGTCTGCGGCGCTGCGATTCGCTGTGCAGAGTTGCGTCCCTTGGGCACACCAGAAACTTATGAATCCCTGTTCGCACGAATTGTTTCTAGGTTTGTCAGCACCATACCCCTGCTCGTGGGTTTCACCACAGTGATAAACGTCAAAATCTGCATCACTCCGGGCTTTCCTCCCACATTAAGCTGACACGCCGTGATATAACTGGAATAATGTTCACAGCGGCGTTAAACTCACTCACTCCCTCTTCCTTAATCATATACCCGGTTATCTCATATAAAGTATACTTGACTTGACTTTGCATGGGTTTATAATGGGTACCAAACATGGGGCAGGATACGTTCTCCTTTTCGCGAACACCAGGTACCATCACGGTTTGGTAGTGAGTAATAAACACATGCTTATGATTATTCGGAATCGTACGATGTAGTTTGCTTTCGGCAGAGATTATGATTTTCGAAAGGGTTTTGTCGCTTAGTTGAAGTATTCCACGAAACAACAGAAAAATATTTTGGAGAGAGAGAGAGAGAGAGAGAGAGAGAGAGAGAGAGAGAGAGAGGGAGAGAGAGCATTAAAATGCATACAATATAGTACCATACAATACAATTACACGTGAACCTGGAGGAACAGCATTGATGCGTCAACATATACATCACTGCAGACCCCGCACGATCATACTTACACTTGATTTATCACAAACACGGGTAAACACACACACACGCACGCACACACACAGGTCAACACATGATATTATCAGTATTCTAACACGAGTGAGTGTGAGTGAGTATGGTTTAACGCCGCTTTTAGCAATTTTCCAGCAATATCACGGCGCGGGACACCAGAAATGGGCTTGACACATTGTACCCATGTCGGAAATCGAACCCGGGTCTTCGGCGTGACGAGCGAACGCTTTAACCACTAGGCTACCCGACCGCCCCAATTCTAACACGAACAATAACAAGTACATGTTAAAACGATCAAGATCACGTGGCTGATACATGATTAAAACGGTATTACAAAGCCATCAACCCCATGTTGGTCCAAACTGCATTCAAAGCTGTGGTTCTTTGTCATGAAGAAAGAACGAAAACACCTGTATTTGAAAAAAAAACATTTTTTCCACGAATACAGGCTTTTGAGGTCTTTAAGTGACATAAATAACTTAACGCTGCCGAGGAGCCAACGCGCAAACATAACCAACTACATGTTCATTTTTTTAGAATTGAAACAGGCGGTTGCACGTGCAGCTCGAGATGTCATAGGCACAAAACTTGAACTGCACGATGACAATGTGTGTTTGTTTGTTTGTTTGTTGTTTAATGCCGCACTCAGCAGTATTCCAGCTATGCGATGGCGGTCTGGAAATAATCGACTCTGGAACAGACAATCCGGTGATTGATATCATGAGCATCGATCAACCAAGTCAGCGAGCCTGACCGCCCGATCCCGTTAGTCGCCTCTTTTGTTTGTTGGTTGGTTAATGCCGCACTCAGCAATATTTCAGCTGTATGACGGCGGTCTGGAAACAATCCAGACAATCCATTAATTGATATCATGAACATCGATCAACCAAGTCAGCGAGCCTGACCGCCCAATCCCGCTAGTTGCCTCTTTTGTTTGTTGGTTGGTTAATGCCGCACTCAGCAATATTCCAGCTATGTGACGGCGGTCTGGAAATAATCGAGTATCGACCAGACAATCCGGTGATTGATATCATGAGCCTCGATCAACGAAGTCAGCGAGCCTGACCACCCGATCCTGTTATATTAATTAGTCGCCTCTTACGACAAACATGGCTTGCTGAAGACCAATTCTAACCCGGATCTTCACGGGTAACGATGACAATGGAATGGTTCACGTTGATAGGGGGCTTCAGCTATTTGGTGGCATAGTTCGTTAGAAATAACAGTGCATGATTACAACAACAGAGTGACAGCACAATTTTATTTGAAATTGGTGTCTGTGGTATTCACGAAACGCTTCTCAGCTTGAGATAACAGGTATCATATTTTACGGACGCTTCATGAATAAGCCTCTGTACTCTTTTGCTCGCTCAACGAGTATGTGCACGAGACAAATATGGTCGTCAGGCGACACTTCCATCCTTGAGCAATTGTAGGGTGGAGATTATCGTGGATAATCGAGGCTGGCACTATACACGTGTAACTCGGAAATGTCCGTGATTATGATAACTAAAACACAATTAACAATCAGTCTAGGCACGAGCCTATTATTTCATTGATTTAATTGATATTGGAAAACAACTTCCAAATTATATTATTTCATTATCTTCCAGTCCCCGTGCGAAGTGATCTCGTGCTAAACAGCTGGGAAATCCCAGCAGAGCTGTCGACTTAACATGTACTCAACCGAGTAGATCACGGTGACGCAACGCAAATACAACCTGAAACAAGTCTACAAGAGGTTTTCATAATGACTGGGGTAAATACCCCATACTTAAAATTGAAAAAAAGAGCAAAAGATATTAACAAACAAGTAAGTGGATGGGTGAATGTCATGCAAATTTGAACAGTTCGCAGTTATACAATTGTTGCGAACTCTGTATGCCTGCATATGTTCAAAGCCTTCAATGTGCTATTTTCCTAATTTGAGTAAAGAATTATAAAGGATTTTGTTTTGCGTAATTTGTGTGGAGGGATCTGGTAAAACATGGATTACAGTGAAATCTTCAAATCAATACCATTTCTGCCCGCGGTACAACTTGGTGGCGGAATCTGCCAAGTTGACTGAAAGACTCATGAACACTGTTGCGCTGAAGTGGCAGTAAAATATGAACGCTTTACGAGGATAGCAACGGTGTAGCAGCAAACAGGTCAGCTCACTCGTGTGTGAGAGTAGATCTGAATTACTCTTGAAGTGTGAGGATTGTTATTGTCTAGCTCCACTCTCCTACCCAGAGTTCCATGCGGCCGGCAGCCAGCCAGCATAGTACCTCTGCTACAGGCCAGCGCCATGTGAAGATCTTTCACAGTCCATTCAAGATATTGCACATGCTTTTCATCCGTTTCATGTTTGACAAGTCTACCATTTCACATACAAATGTCAAAGAATGATTACGGTTAATTAAGAAAGTATCCTAAAACGTGAAAATCTACTTGTTTTTGCTGAGTTATCCTTTGTTTACATTGGTTGTACGGCTCCACGTGCTGTTATCGAAGGCCAACGGAGAGCTAGCGATACGGTCACTTTGATGTAGTTGCATATCTATATAAGTATGCGAAACAATATGTAAAGCGCCCCCAAACACTTGCATTCGTCCGTTCTGTACTGATTTCTGAAAAAGCTCGTTTGTTTACAAACAAGAGAAAA